GAGACTCCCCCCTTTGCTCCATCCTGTCACCCCCACCCTCGGCCTGAGAATGAGTTAAGGAGCCTTCCCGCCTCCCTCGCCAGACTTCCCAGGTTAACCGCTTGTTGGAAGCTTTCTCGGGCTGAAGTGTCCCCTTCTGTGGCCACCCTGATTCCTGGGCCGCCCCTTAGCCCGTGGGGAGCAGTGTAGTGCGTGGGTGCCCGTCGGGGCGCATGGCTCCTAATAGTTGCTCAGTAAAAACAACGGGGTCATTTGCCAGAACTGGGTCCCGATTCCAAGCATACGACCGCGTGTTTAGTGTCCGGCTTTGGGCCGACATAACACACAGCTCTTGATTCACGGCTCGTCTATAAAATGGGGTAATAAATTTAAAGCTAAAAAGACAGCCTGGCTCATAATAGACCCTAGGAAATAATAGCACCCGCTTTCCCCGTGGAGAAAGCGAATGCTCAAGTGAAAACTGTGCGTGAACTTCCTCTGCGCCCTGACAGGCTCCCTCGCCCCTCAGCTTCCACCCAGAGGCCTGGGTTTGCTGATTCCCTAGCTTGGCTGTTCCAGGCCACCCTCCCCGTGTGCCTAGTCCCTGTCCTAACCTCCTCCTGAGGCCCAGCCTAAGCCTAGGACCTGGGGGCCCACCCCGGGGCGCCGCTCAGCTGCAGGTGCCGGGTTGGACGGTTCTCGTTCAGTGTTAGGGAGCCCATGGATTCCTGTAGAATTCCCGAATTTATGTCCCAGAGACACGGAGGCTCCTCTCGCCTCCCGGTGCTCTCCCATCCAGAGCGTCTCGGGACCTTGGAGGTCGACCAAATGGGAGGAAAGGGCAGGGACAGCAAATATAAGTCCAGGGGTGCAGACTTGGTAAATGGAGGGATGATGGTGTTGGTGACCGAAAACGCGGTCTGCAGAGAAAGGGGGTGTGAATTTTGCAAATGCTGATTTAGGTTCTGACACATGGTACCTTTTTAGCTCCCAGTGGGGGAAAGTAAATGGAAAGAGTCAGAATGGAGTTGTTCCAAAGAGTAGCATCATAATGTATAGCAAATACTATTAAAGCATAGCATCATCTAGGTAGCTCAGGGATTCTAAGTAGTTTAAATTATGTGAGGATGTGTAACAGATCCATTGAGTTCTGATTTACTTTATAATTGCATTAAGTAACGATTCTCTTTCCTTCAGTTGACGCGGGCTTACCTGTCTTTTAAAAATGGCATTGCCCTTTTTGCACACGAAATGTTCTCACATAGTTGAAAATAAAATTATCCTGTGAAATATTTTCCTGCATTTTTTTTTCTTTTTGATCGTTGGTTTTCCCTAGACGAAATAAAGTGTTATGCTACATTGCAGCCTCACTGTTAGGAACGAAGAAAGAGCGGAAACTGCAGAAAGACCCCCACACACCACGAAAATGGAGAGCATCCAGGTCCTAGAGGAGGGGTGAGTGATTCGCGTGGTAACCGCGTCCTGTCCCCATGTGCCGTTCGCGTCCCCTCGGGGCTTCGTGTCAGCTCCTGCGGCCGTTGCTCCTCCAAATGGTTTTGTGAAATGATTGCACAAGCTGCAGGATCTTACTCTGTGATCGCCGGGGCTTTCATCAGTCCTTCTATTAGCTGTGTCGAGCTACCAGCTACAGTGTCGCCTGGCTTTATTTTTATCTTTCAAAAATAGTGATTGTTGCATGATTTAATGCCCCAGTTCGCCCTAACTCTTTCCTTCCCTTTCCTGAGAATATTTCTTTAAGTTGTTCTCTTTAGGTGGGAAGAATCTAAAACACACACGAAAAAGATGTGGGATGACCTTCAGCCAGCTGGTGTCTGGCCCCATTTGGAGTATTTTCTCCAAAAACGAGAAGTTGAAATGCAGAACTGGATCTATAAATAAAATCAAAATAAAAGTAGATTATTTGTGTAATTACAGGTACTTTTCCAACTTATGAGAAGGTTTTAATGTTGATGCTTCATAGTCACTTTTTATTTTGAAATTTTTTAAATGAATGTGAAAGTTCTGATATTTTTGAATAGTAAACATCTGTTTAAAATTCTTGCTCAAAAGGTGTATATATAGATATATATGTTTATCTATATATATCTTTATATCTACCTATCTATAGATATAGATGTAGATGATAGATAGATAGATGATTGATAGATAGATAGATAGATAGATAGATAGATAGATAGATAGATAGATGATAGATGTCTTCTTTGACCAAGTGTATGTTAGGTTGGAAATTTATTTAATAGACTGATGAATGGGAAAACAAGATCAATTTAACCATAAGAATCTCCAATGTATTTTTTCCATTTCTTTGATGTATAAGCAAAGGGAGTAATAACAGGTGGTTTCTGCAGGAAAGCAGTCACTGAAGACCTGAATATAGATACTAAAAAGTCCTCGTATTGTAAGGGCCCTGTGCTTTGTAACTGTGAGAACTCCATTCATGGGTAACGATTCATTTATAATAAAAGTTTAGGAAGTTTTGTGACAAGTGCACACAATGTATACTTTTATGTTTTAATTTATTGTTGAAAGTATTACAGATGTCCCTTCCCCCCTTCCATTTATAGCCTCCACCCCGCA